TCAGCATCCTCCGTATCAGTGGCTCGTATCAACGGCTCGTATCAGCGGATCCTCCGTATCAGGGGATCCTCCGTATCAGCGGCTTGTATCATCATCCTCCATATCAGTTAGCATCCTCCGTATCAGCATCCTCTGTATCAGCATCCTCCATATCAGCATCCTCCGTATCAGCAACACGTATTAGCGTCAGCTTGTATCAGCGGACACTGTATCAGTGAGCTTCCGTATCAGCGGCTCGTATCAGCGGACACCGTATCAGCGGACACCGTATCAGTGAGCTTCCGTATCAGCGGCTCGTATCAGCGGACACCGTATCAGCGGACACCGTATCAGTGAGCTTCCGTATCAGCGGCTTGTATCAGCGGACACCGTATCAGCGGACACTGTATCAGCGGACACCGTATCAGTGAGCTTCCGTATCAGTGAGCTTCCGTATCAGTGGCTCGTATCAGCATCGAGCGTCCTCCGTATCAGCATCCTCCGTATCAGCAGTGAGCCTCCGTATGATCAGCATCCTCCGTATCAGCAAAATCCTCCGTATTTTGTGATAAGACAAGAAGGCAACAGAATAGTGATCAAAAATTATTAGTTTGCACCTCGATGCATCCAATACCGGCACCAATGACCGGATTTCAGTTGCATTTGTTGCATTTTCACGTACTTTCAACGGATGAAAATGCACCTCTGAGGCAACGAAACAACAACCCCAGGAAAATATGCAGTACCGATTTTGCGTGTTAATTTTGCACACAAAAGAGTCATTACAGTTGCAAAAATAGCGGTACCAAGTATGGTACCGGTCAATTTTGGGGTTAGGGCCTATGTGGTACATTTGGGCGTAGCCGGCGCACCAATAATGATAATGCAACTTTAGTTGCATTTGACGAGTACAGGGCTTGTACCGTACTTGAATTTTTGCTTTGAAAAAATTCGAATCATGGAAGTTGAAAAAAAAAAAACTAGAATAGTTTTTCTTTTTTCTCGTTCCTAAATAATGGTACTACAGTTTGCACCTCTCTAGTTGGAATAAGCTCAATAACTCAATAATTTGGGTGTTYGGAATGCTTCTTTTTGCACTAAACAGATCTATTACACTGTTATATAGTCATGAAGATTGAATATAGATAAAGTGACTGATGTACTTGCATTAGCTACTTAGATATGACCTTTTTTGGCATATCCTCAAGAAGAATATGATTTTACCTAGTAGTAGTACTAGTACCATCAGTTGGTGCTGGGTTCTAGTAGTACTGGTCACTTAAAGACCAGAGGACTGGTTTCTATAAARCCAAGACTTAGAGCTTTATCATGATATTCTTATCATACTTATTGAGAATTTTCTTATGTAGTCTCAGTGGGTCATTAGAGGAGCTAAATTTTGCTTGGGCATGTACTTGGGTGTGTGCAGTTTTCATGTGGGTTTTTCAATTTTTGAGCTGGAGAGCCGATGCAAAGAGGAAAAAATGGTGTGCACATGGTACAAATGTGGGCCCCGTGTTATTTTAACRTGATAATTTTCACTCTTGATTTCACTGCACCTCCTAATTTCCTCTTTTCATTATTCRCTKCTTTCCATTCAACTGGCTAAGACCAGCTTCTTTGCACCTCAACRAARACTGTTGGTTTCTTTGCACCTCAAGTGACTCACCACAAGGCGCTACTGYRACTTCACCTCARGGCGCTACTGTGACTGTGACAGGTCACCTGGTGACTCACTGATAGGGGGTCCATCAACTTGCTGGCACTTGCTGAAACCACTCTTAAGGGATCCATTGGTGACTCGCCT